TATATATATATATATATAGCAGAGGCCCAATCCACTGAACACAAGGTTACCCAGCCATTCTTTTGACTTGTTGACACAAGCTACATAGGCGGCGAATGAGGTTCAGTATATCTTTTGCCACTGGAAACATATTCTGTTGAAAGTATCTACCAAAAGAATGCACTGTCACTGTGGTATGTGTGCTTGTCCTGAGAATATATAGTAACAGTCTAAAATCGATTGATGCGACTGGGTGAAAAGAACCATGGTCCATAGTGTAACTAGCAATGTCAATCAAATTCAATCTGCATGTGGCCCGAAAATGTTCAAATAGACACTGTTTTTGCTTATGTATGAAAGTAACAGGAAAAAGCGTGTAAAATTCGTAGGAAAGCCTATCTAGTTGTGTATACCCGATGGCCTCTATTGGACAGTGACAACTCTATGGCCGAATTCGTTTAACACATCGTCGTATGGGTATCCACAAACAGCCTGTGAATAAGCTATACGAATCAGGTTGTGCTTGTGTGCCCATTGTGGGATAACAACCACTCTCACGGTCAACGCCTACTGCCAAAACGCGGTGGCGCGAAACGTAACTGGAAGAGTGAGGTTCGCAACAACTGTCACATACCTACCCTCCTCTGTTTCTTACCCTTTAATTTCAACAAATGAAACAATATTTTTCCTCTAGGCCATCCCAAGGGGAAATACCTTGATGAAATCATTAGGACATTCATCGAAACTCGCAAAAGTGCGAGTTCATCCCACAGCTGTCTAAGTTGGATACTTTGATACAAAACGGCATTCACCAACAAGACTATTTCATTCAGGAGCCTTACACTCAAATCATTCATTGAAAAGCCACAACTGAGATAGTTTATGAAGATGATCATGCTAAGGAGAGTTGAATCTCGAGAGTTGGTATATTTGGGAGTCACTAGTATGATTTCCTTTGACGCACCCAATCGACCGAAAAAGTGTGAAGGCTATCTGGGGATATGATCCGGTAGCTGTTTTTTAGTGCGGAGGAATCCAAGGTCTCTTGGAGCAAGCAAAATACAGATTGAAAGAAGGCATTTTACTATACCTTCCATAGTCAATCATATCGAAAAGCACGTGAATGTGAGTATATCCAAGGGCGATAAAAAAAGCTACCGGGCTCAAAATGCCGCGTTTTCAATAGATTTCTCGGTACTTGGCAAGCGTGCCTGACCAAGGACTTCTAAGAGTACTTGGTTCGAAAACACTTAACAGTTGAGAAGAAAATGTGGAATTGATTAATGGAAAATCTGCTGCCTTCAACATTCTCAGGGCAAGCAGCAGCCCAGGGCCAGTAACACTTCCATCAAGGTGTTCCTAAATTGGATTATTTGCGCACATTTCGCAGCAATCAATGGAAATCGTTTGAAAAAAACTAAGAAATTACGACGCGAAATACAGTTGAGATGTACGGCCTCCAATAAGCCAAATACAGTTCAAATGGGACTCAACTTTTTTTAAATTTTGGAATAGGTTTGTCCGAGATTCGAGACTGGAGTAGTACGTAAAACGAAAACCTTAGGAGAGCACCGTGTGAGCGGCGTGACAGTGACGACTGTTGCCAGTGACATTCGTGAGACAGACCTTTGTGGAACGCCTCTTTCCTGAGTTCTCATTTATTCACCATTTATGGCTCAATCGCTCCCCATTCCTATTTCCTGTTGTCCATCTGACGCACAATGATACTAGAGCTGCTCAAACGCACTCGAATGGAACCTGAACTGTCTACGTTCTTTGAGTTCTCACACACCATAAAAGTGATGCATGAACACGAGCGCACGCAGACAAGCACACAAAGCAGAAGATAACGACAGTTAGCAAGAAAAAACAATCTTCCAGCTTCGGTCATTAATTCGATATCGAGGAGACGGCAGAGCACCGACTTGTGACAAAGACATGGTGGATGAGTTTATCTTTTAAGCTTGGTTTATTCCAGTTGAAGATGAAGGGGAGATCAAGAGGAAGGTGTTGTGCGTCTGCGTGTGTACGTGTGCCTGAGTTACAGAAAATCATCTTTTCACAGAGTCGATAAAACTGTCAAAAACCGATGGGAAAAGAGTGAACCCGACTACACGCGTTCGTTTCACACTCACACTCACACAGAGAGACGCAAGACCCTTGACACACAGGAACAAAAAACCAGCAAGAGTCATTTAAAGCTTAATCTTTACCTCATCCAGTTTTGCCACTGTATGTGACACGCGAGACATTTTCCCCGAGCGCCGTGTCACTAGAGACGGTTTGATGGGACCAGAGTTTTCGGTGTTGAGAAAATTAATTTCTCACGGAAAAGAGCAGGACGATATTGGGAAAAAGCTACACTACAGAGGAGTGGAACAACACCTGAGTGTGAGTGCAAACCCACACACGCACACAAACGTAAGTTCATTTGACAGGCTGCTCAAAATATTTTCAAGGCCATTTGGGAATTGTGTTATCTACGTGAAACAGAAAGAAACTTTCCACCGTATCTCCATCATCACTGGTATCGAAAGGCACCTTTTCCAATCACCTGTATTGCTAGCTTATGCAACAAATGGCCGGACCGGCGAGTTTCTTGCGTCGTGCTTCGTTTAATGTGATTTTGAGACTACTGTTCGAACTAC